TATCATTGTTCTAAACTGTATTACTGAAAAAGTTGACATTTATCCATTATGTTTTAATTCATGAACATAATAAACTTTTTTGTGTTTGTGTCTGCCCCTTCTGTCTCAGCTGACGGAGTTGCAGATGTGGTGCTGTCCTGCACCCTGGTGGAAGAGGGAGTCGGCCCTCCTGGAAGGGGTGCCGCCTTAACACGGACTCCAGCTACTCTCGTCTTAAGAGATGTTGCAGTGGCTCATGACGAATCACTGGAAGCGCTCACTCCGTTTCTCCCGCCCTCAGTCCCTGACCCAGACCTCATCCTGTTTGAGGCCCAAGGTCCCCCCCCCTCGCTTTCTTAATGTGTAAGGTTTGGTGCAATATAAGTAGAACCATGTGCTGAACTTCTCCTCTCATCCCTCTGTGGCAGTGTCATCAGTCGAGATCCCCGGTGCAGATGTGCTGCTCCATGCGGACTGCAACGAGCAGGAGGTGATGTGTGAAATAAGCCGTTATGCTCCTCAAGGATCCCAGGAAGGTTCAGATCCAGTCTATTTCATGGTGTCCCTTAATGTTGAGGTAGCTGAGTTCAGCACTGCGTTGATTCTGCAGACCACTGTGGTGGACAAGGACCACACAACAGTGATGCAAAACAAACTGGGTCTGCCTCTCAGCCAGTCGGGTTGTCTGCCTACTGAGGGTGAGATGCAGTCTTTGAAAATGTCTCATTTAATCATTGGACCTTTCCCATTGCTTGATTCAAAACATGGTCAGTAAGATCCGTCTCATTACTTTGTCTCTGCTGTTGTCTTTGTTTTCTGTCCCCCAGTGATATTCCTGGTGTTTTCCCACATTACGTCTGTAGCTGCGCCTCTGAGAGGTGATGTCCTCCTCAACTGTGGCTTCAAGCAGCATGAAACCCTCTCATCCCAGGTTGTGGGCATTGAATGGCGGCTGCAGCACAGAGGGAAGGGGCACAAAGTGTTGGATATGAAGACGAGGCTGGATAATGCAGAAGGGAAGGAGGAGGAAGGTGAGTGCTGTAGGGGAGAATAGGAGTGCATGAACTCCAATGTTTAATCCAGGGTCGTAAGTGCTCGGAATAACTTCCTGTATGTCTCAAAGTGACACCTCAGATGAGGAAAGTAAAATAGTTAGGACAAATACAACAGCCTCATCAGGTGGTTGTTTAATATCTCAAATGTCCTTGACATTAAGACCCTGTTCAGATCTGGTATTAACATCTGTCCAGAGTTATCCAACCACAAGTGGTTAGTGGTAAGAATCAGAATTGGATCCCAAATTCACCTTCAATGCTTCCTGAGTTGAGATTGCACTAGCAACATTTGGAGGTGGGACGTAAATGCTACTAAGCTAAAGTTCTCGACAGTTAAAAAAAATATCAAAAGCTGCAGAACAATAGAGAAAGTGGACCTGAAATTGAGATCCTTCTATCAATGGCTGTCTGCATGTTTAGCATTTAAGTACACATGGTTAATATGCCCTAAAGGTGCACACAATCATAGGAAGTTTGAAAACTCAATCTGCTGATGAAGCACATGTGATATGGTTGAAATCACCAGAACAAGCTTGTAAGAGAAGCCTCACTTCCGGATGTTTTGTCCATCGTCACGTCTCATTGTTTTTTTCAGTGCATGCAGAAAGGAGAGGCTCCAGCATGGACTCCGCGGTTGCTGGTGAAGGTAATGTCTCTGTGACCCTGAACAAGCTGCAGGTTTCGGATGAGGGGACCTACATCTGTACCGTTAGTTTGGGCCTTTTCCACGCACAGCAAGTCATTCAACTCCGTGTTATTCGTGAGTGTTGCTCTAATCCGATCTCTCAAATCAAGAGTATCCACAGCACATCTTTACATTACTCCCCTGATTCTTTGTATTCAGAGCCGCCCCACGTTTCACTCTCCGAGGAGAAGTTGGTTTTGAAGACCAAGTCTCCTCAGACACTGAGCTGTCACTGCAATAAATACTTCCCACTGGATGTTCAGGTCTGTAAACGTTGTTTTTTCTACCACTGAAATTTTAGTGAAGACATAAAATCTCTGGATTCTTCAGTTATTCATTTTCTGATAGTATCGCAAAGCCAGAGTGGATCTTAGAAGTAGAGACAGCAAACACCTAAACCTACCTGATGATGAGCCTTAGGCATCAAGCTCAAGGATTTGATCTGGTGGATATTTGGTGAATATGTTTTTAACAGATCATGACTTTCTTCCTCTGCCTCTCAGATCGAGTGGTTATCCATGTCACCTATGGATACAGAGCCTGCAGTCTTTCCAGATCAGGGATCACTGTCCAGCCACCGGCAGCATGGCGACAAGACGTTTTCCCTGTCATCTCACCTGGCTGTGCCCCCCACTGTCTCCCCAGGCACCAAAATCATCTGCAGGGTGTCTCACCCGGCCCTGGACGCTCCTCTCTCTGTGAGCGTGGTGGTAGAAAGTCCAAAACCAGGTAATATGTCCTTTAATGGGAAATATTAACTTCCCGAAAAAGGCTACATCTACAAGTCCAAATCTACTTAGTACAACTTTGAAGAAATACCCGAAAGGAAGACTTAACAAATTATGTTTAAGAAGCCAAAACATGATTTATGATGTTGACCATTGACCTCTGACCTCCAAAATCTAATCAGTGAATCCGTGAGTCTAAGTGAACATTTGTGCAAAATTTGAAAGGATTCTCTTGAGGCGTTTTTATGATAACGTGTTAATTTGGAAAAATAATGTTTTGTGAGTTCACACCTTGACTCGCCAAAATCGAATAAGTTCATCTTTCAGTCCAAGTGAAAGTTTGTACCAAATTTGAAGAACTTCCTTCCAGACAGTCTTGAGATGTTGCGTTCACAAGGCAAAAATAGGTTTTTTATGAGGTCACAGTGCAGTTGAACTTTGACCTTTGGCCACCAAAATGGAAATACTTCGTCCTTGAGTCCAACTGAAATTTTTTTTTTAACAAATTTGAAGAAATCTCCTAAAGGTGTTCTTGAGATATCCTGTTCACAAGAATGGACCAGACTTCCTGAAAACATACTGTCTCCTGCCACCAGCATAACAGTCAATCTTAAATTAACGAGATCAATAATGAATGTATTAGGAATAATAGAATAGAAGTAATAAAGATCCTGGTTATTTTACACATAAAGCACTGATATGCATTCCATACTGTTTACTGTCATCTTCTATCTGATGTAATGTCACTTCAACACTGTTCTTTGTCTTTCTCTCCACAGATTCCTACTGGTTTGTTCTGGGTTTCCTGATCATCACTGTACTTTTCTTCTACCAGCTGATGAGATAAATCAGTTACGGAGATTCTGATTAAATAATCCTGACTTGAAATTGAACTGCTTTCTCAAAAAAAAAAAAAAATCCCCTTTAGGTTTATTCAATGATTGTCACCTCCTGCTGACTGGATAAATACGAATTTTGGGGACATTTTTTTGAAGATAATAATTTTTATTTTAATGTGTATATTTGTTGTTGAGAGTTGTTTGTGGTGATTTACTAATATTTTATATCACTGATGGTATTCATTGTGTGAACCTAAACTTTCTTTTTGTCCTTCCCAAAAATTTGAAGTAGTATTTAAGTATTTGTTGCTCTCACTGGTTCTGTTTTTAATGTGTACTTGTATTTTTATGGCTCTTGCTCTTCGTGTGATGTTAATATTCTTTGTTTTTTTTTCATTTTCTTTTCATCAATAAGGATTTTGTGACCCAGAATTTGAAATAATATATATATATATTGGACATTGTCGCTGTTGGAGTTTGTTTCAAAACCTTAATTTCCTCTATACACATTAAGTAAATGCAGTGATAAGAGAATAAATACTTTGATAACGAGACATTCTACTGTACCACCCCCATTAAAATTCTTAACAATTATATTTATTGTTAGTATTTTTAGTAAGTGGAGAGGGGAACTTCAGGGGCCAATCAGAATTCAGCTGTGGCTGGATCTTTCCCTTTTCTTGTGGTTTTTGTTGTGGTTTGTTTGATTGTCTTTTTGTTTGTCTGAATTCAAATAAAAAATAAATTAATAATAATATCAAAATTAGTATTTGTATTGAAGCCAGGTCAAATCACAGGAATCTGTGTATAGATGCCAGTTGGCTCTTTTGAACTTCAGGGAATGGAGGAAAACAACAAGGTCTAAATTGGCTCAATATATAAAGAAAGTAAAAACAAAGGTCAGTCGTCAGTTCTATTGATGATTTCTTTATTGGCATCAGCAAAAGTGGTAAGCATGCATTTGTTTTTGCAAATCCAGTTGCATCTCTTACTGTAAATCGCACATGTTCTCATACCTAATGTGGTATCACCCTCTAATGTTGTTGCACAATACCATCAGGTAATTTTGGACTGGAACTGCTACAATTATCCATAAATGCACTTTGCACATATGGTTGTTCATATTCTCACAACTTCATCAACTCTCAAAATCAGTCTGAAGAGAGGAAAACGCTTTTCTCCAACAACAACCCAGAAAACCTGAAAGAATTTATAAACACTCTCGTCTGACAGATGTGTACTATGGTTCTACTCATACAATACTACATGTATTTAACGGTTCACGATAGTAGCAGTTTGTTTGCAGTCTCTGGATATTATTTTTCTCTCAAAAGCAAGTGAATTTAAAACTTGGCAAACTCCTCAGCATTGCATTGCATAAGCAGTAATTATCAGATCAGAAAATATACATAGGTCCTTGACACTAACAAAAGAAAATGTACAATCGGCAGTTAGATTCAGACATGGCAGATACACAGGTCACACAAATAGGCAAAACTATGGACACCGTTTGCCATGCAAGTTAGAAACAAACACTTCATTTTGACTGTTACTGAACTGAAGGTGGCGACTGGGTCTGTTTTTATGTGAGCGGGTGAGGTGGCAGCGGGAGGGCCGGGCGGCTCCGAGGTTTCCCAATCAAGTCTTTTCTCCCATTTCGCTGCTTTTCCATAGATCAGATCAACTTAAAAAACAACAATCACACGAATACTTCTGTCACCACGACTCTGGACGTTTTTACCTGTTTAAATGTGAAGCTACACATTCATCTGTCTATGGCTGTGACTCCGTCCCAGGACAGAGTTGAGAGGCCTTCCTCTGCGTTGGACTGGTTCATGTATACAGTAGATTGTCTGTCAGTGGCTGCTCGTCTGCTCGCCTCGCTGTTTATGCCGCTAAGCATAAAGCTAAATGCCACCACCTGTGGTACAAAAACCCTGGTACAAATGAAGCATCGTTATAGAACTACAAGTCAAGAATCGCTTTTCGGTCCAGACACAGGTTTCACTTATTTATGCGGAAAAAAGCTGCAATGCTCAAACTACATATCCCTGAATCACTTCTTCCTTTTCTTAAACCCTCACACAATATTTCACTTCTTTCTCTTTTCTATCACTAAACATTGGAGAAGTAAGAGTCTAAGTAAGAGAAAGTTAAGCAGGAGAAAACAAAGTCAGTAAACTTGGAAAAAGCTACTAGCTACAATGCTCTGGATCACAAATACACACGCGCATACAACAAAAATGATCACAATCTTAATCTAACATGACCTCGTGTTAAGAAGCAGTGACGATGGAAGCAGTGGTGAGGAGGAGGAGGAGGAGGAGGAGGAGGAGGAGAGTGTTAGTTTGGCATGTCAGTATCAATTTACAAATGCAGGACTCTCAAAAAAGTTAATATGAACAAGCTTTGGTGTATCAGGGGTAGAAAGGACTGCAAACTGTGGTTCAATCTCCCTGCACACGTTCACCCTCTGTACACTGTACATTACCCCCCATGGCTCCGCTCATTGGGCTCATAGACCTGTGTGTTCCCCGTGTCACAAGGATTTTCTCTCTCCCTCCGTCCCTCCCTCCTTCCCTTTCTTTCTTCCTCTTTCAAACCGCCTGCTGCGACCCTCAATAATACATGAGAGGCAGAGACAGGAGAGAGCGAGTGAGTTCGACTTCACGCCAGAACAGTGGAAGAAAGCGATAAGAAGGGAGGGAACGGGGAGGGACAAAGAAAGCAGACACACCTATTAACACTAAAGTCATGTGTAAGTGCAAGATGGATGGATGGAAGACCGTGTGAAGAGAGGGAGGAGAGGACGGATAAAAGAGGAAGGAGTGGCGCTAGTTGTTTTTTTTTCTCTCTTCCCTCTCGTATCATTCTCAAGTCCATATCCATCTGTATTGATGGGCTGAGTTCAGTAGAAGAAGTACACTGTGAATGAAGGAGAGAGGAAGACGTTAGTCTGGCAAATCTGTACTCTTTGTAAAACAAAGGAGCAGACTGAGCTCTTCCTCTGAAGCCTACAGGTTTGTTTAAAACAAATATTGAGCCTGAAATCTCAGGAATAATTATTAATCAGAGCAGAGGCCAGATGTGAGCCTGTTGTAGGAGAAGTTAAAAATGGTACGCTGATACCGTCTGTGTCTTTTAACAAAATCAGAATAAGCATTTCTTTATTTAAATCAAGTAAAGTTAACGGCCCTTGTACATCAACACTAATATATGTGTAAATATATGTAATATATATAATATATACCAACATGTTAGTGTCATGCAAACTGCTGCCATGTATAAAGGATCTTTTTCTATGAATTGGCAAATTGGGAAAATAGCCAGAGTTCTACTTTTTTAAAGAACGTTATCGGTGAATATTAACATACATGTCGATCAACTTCATCAACCAATAAATGTTTGTATTAGAAACTATGTGTCTTTTACTTACAGAATATTATTCCAACCACAATGACTCCAATGATGCCCATCATGATCATCATCTGAACAAAGAAGACAAAGATATTAATGATAATGGTTCATCTCTTTGAAGGAATCTAAGTATTAGTAGGCTCTGCATTTGTGGTGCTTTAGCTGTGTAATCTTTGTGGTGAAAACTCTACAATGACACACTTCTTTTTCCCGTTTCCCTAAAGCATCTGTTCAGACGTGCACAGCAGCTCATTAACAGATGAGAATGTGGAGAGAATCCGCAGCACAGTCACTGTGTGTTCGCCTGAACGCACCTCAGCCTTAAAGAAAAAAGCTGAGTATTTGATTCACCTTTAATTGAGTCCATTATAGTATATTCATAAAGTATCTATAAGCACTACACTACACACTAATAGGTACATAAATACACCATGAGCTTATTTCAGTGACGAGTCTGTTTAATGGACTCACACTAATGTACCCACCTTGCAGTTCTTCCACCAGTACTTGTTCTTTAGCTTGGCTGCGCAGCTTTCGAACTGGGAGGCTCCGGCTTGGAGAGCATCCGCTCTGTCATCCAGCTCTGAGAGCTTCTGGTCCCTTTCCAAAACCTTGTCCACATTCACCCGCATGATGTCCACCACCTAGGCCACGGCAGAGAGGATGAGAAAGCATTTGGCAGTGATGTGGAGGGGAGATGAAGGGAATAACAAGCACTGTTAAAGGAGAGCAGCACAGGGGGTGGAGGGCTTTCTGTAGAGGTGCACTGTATATATATAACAAACATGAATAAATAAGTAGTCGCAATCCATTTGCAAATTAAAGCAGAGGATGTTATATATCAAGAAGACCAGACCTTTCCACAGAACATCAGAGCAGCAACAAAGCCTTTCACATGCTTGTTTATCTCTGCCTCAGTGTCTGGACACTGTGTGTATAACGTATTGACAGGTGTTTCACTATTAAGCCACTGATGAGATCCCTCTGCAGCTTTAGCACTGTCATGTGTCATTTAAACTCAAGTTCTGGCCCTGACTCTCCGACTGGCCTGCTTCAGCTCACCTCCTCTACTTGGGCCTGTGTCTGCTGTAGCCTGCGGTTGCTGGAGGTGTTGGGTGGGCCTGGAGGTTGGCCGGCCGGGGCTCCATCTGCACCGGGGGCTCCTGGAGCACCGGGGGCTCCAGCTGCGGCGGCATCTGGGGCAGACCTGACGAGAAGCAGGGGGAGGAGAATTTAGAGTTTGATTTACTGTAGAGAGCTCCCCACTTACTGCTGAGATTATTTTGCAGGTTACAGAGGAGGGATAGCAAAAGAGACAACTGCATACACAGGGTGATGAATGAAGGGAGTGAGAAGTAAAGAGAGGAGGAGAAGAGGAAAGGATGAGCAGGTGAGGTGAAGAAAAGGAGAAAATTAGAAATAAGAAAGTTTAGGACACAGATAGGAAGCAAGAAACAGAAAGTCCTGCCCGAGATGTCTGGGAAAAGAGAAAGAATAATGGGGAATAGAATTTTGGTTTAAAAAATAGCACAAAATAAAAAAGAGTATGGCTAGATCACAGAGAGTTGGGTTGGGTGGAGAGAAAAGGTTAATGTGCAGTGGTTAGTGGTTAAACCTCCAGCAGGGGGGAGTGGAGGTGTAAAACAGAGCAAACAAGCCACTGCAGGACACTTTCATACAAATCACTCTGTCACTGATGCTGGAGCAGGAAGAAAATAATAAATACAAATGAAGCAACTGTGCAGATGAGGAACCAAAATGTCATCGTCTGACATGAAGGTTCTTCAACATTAAGCAACTAAAAAGTCCTTCAATCCTAATTTACCCTCTAATCCACAATATAATAATCTATTTTTTAATTTGTGGCGTAAAACTATATTTAAAAACCTGGATTGATCACGTCAGAGCCCTTCAGAGACTACAGTCAACTCTTGAATTTTTTATTTGGTGACGCTGTGACGGATTTTTTTTTACTTGCGTCAGCAAAATCTATCAAGCTGAAAGAAATCAGTTCAGCCGCAAAAAAAAAAAAAAGAAAAAGAAACGACCAAACATGCAGTGAAATCAATATATGTGAATATGAGCAAATAAAGTATCATGCATTAGCTACATCGTGATGTTATATAGTGAAAAAGAGCGCAGGAGAAAAGACGCATTAATACTCACATCTTCTCTGCAGCTGTTTGAACTGACTCACGGGCAGTGGAGGAGGAGGAGGAGGAGGAAGAGGAGGAGGAGGAGGAGGAGGAAAGAGGGAGGGTCTGAAGTACCACACGAAAAGAAAGACAAAACCAGAGAGATCACTGGGATAAAAGAGACGTGGATATCTGGGCACTGGTCCCAATAAAAGTCCCAAACGCTTCAGTGATGGAGAGGAGGCTGACGCGCGGACTGTTTGGCGCAGTGGAGCTGGTCCTCTGGAGCGATGCGCTCAAAAGTACCGCAACACGGGCGCACGCAGGCGAGTTCACTGTGATGAGGCTGAGCTGGAGAGTGTGATGTGAAGAAGAGGAGGAGGAGGAGGAGAGCGATGAAAGTACCTCTGGATTATAATCCGTGCAGGAGGAGGATCTCCGGGGTTGTTTGTGCAGCAGCTCCTCCTGCACTTCTCTTATAAGCAGTTTTTAAAAATGAAGGAGGAAGAAAAGAAAAGTCCAGTCATGAAGATTCAGTTGATTTCTCTCACTCCCTTCACTCTCTCTCTCTCTCTCGTCCGCGTAAAAAGTGTTGTGGCACCGTTGGCTGCTGCAATAATGCGTCTCTCCTCCTGCCTCCCTCCACTTGGACTCGTAACGACAGTGCGGTGCCCCCCTCCCCTCCCCTCCTTCTCCATCGCCTCCCCTCCCCCTCTCACACTTTGCAGTACTGCAGCTCCCTGTGTGTCGGGTGGGGGGGTGGGGGGGCAGGACGACACTGCGGTACAGTGGATGCCGACAGAGTGTTGACTCGACCGTTTCCTCCCGGGCCTGGGATTCTCCCAGTCCTCCTCCTCCTCCTCCTGTACCACATTTCTCCTCCTGCAATCTCTCTAGTTTGATTTCTGAACCCGCAGTTTCCATTTTGATCATCAACTCTGCACAAGAGAAGCTGAGGCAAACTGAGGATGGAAACGAATGCATCACAGATTTGCATGTCACTGCTTTGAGCTGTAAACTGGTTTGATCCATTTCAGGAAAATCTTAATGCCAGTGTGAAATGTATAATTATTTTAGACAAGTGTTGCCAAAAAATACTACAAATATTTTAAAAAAGACAAAAAACTGTAACCATGTTACTTCATCATCCGCCAACGACTTATCAAATGATGGTATGGAGGTCCTGAGCCCTGACCGTCAATTACTCTGTGGGGTTAGTCATGTTGAAAGATGACTGGAGGCAGTTTTTATACCTTTGGAAGATCGTGTGTCCACAGTCATTCTGCAGTAGAAGAATCCCAAGCATCAACATTTCTACTGATTTTTGATAAAAACTAGAATTACCGTCCTGTGATTGTCTCCAGCAACTAGTGCAGTTTCAGTCTACATACATTTTTTATTTTTTTATGAGGTCAACGGGACCTTTGACGCTAAAATCTAATCATTTCATTTTTGAGTCCGAGTTATAACTGGTCAAAATTTAAAGAAATTCCCTAAAGACCAACTTGAGACCTAACGAGCTAACATCATCTACAGTTTAATCAGGGTCGGTGCTTTTGGGATAACATGAAGAATAATCATACTTGTGAGTGTCCACACAGTTTTAGGTGTATAATAAATTCCCACTGACTTCGGATAAAACTCAAGCATTAACAGCAAATACAATTAACATAAATCATAATTAGCTCAATCGTGAATGGATTCTGAAGGAGTAGACGTTGGCTGGAAGGAATAAAACAAGGTTTCTTCTCCAATCCATTTTTATAATGTATTTTCAGGCTTGTATACAATGTGTTTTGTGCTTGAAAAAAAGAAATCATAATTAATCATTATTATTAACAAAGCCAAGCTCAATCAAAAAATGATTGAAAATAGATCACATAACTTATACAAATGGAAATATCTGCGGCACAGTGAGAACATGACTCAAACAGTCCTTATCAGCTGGTCTGACGTCTGTTGACGTTAGCGATGTTTGCCGAAGCGATTGAAGTGTTTGTAGAGGAAACTGATCCTCTTCTCCAGGTTGTGTTTTTCCAAAGTCATCATTCGGTTTCCCACCATCTTCTTTTTACGAATTAGACGCTCCAGTTCATTACCTTTGAAACCCTTCAACCAGCAGGGGGCCAAAATAAGGTCTTTGGGGTGAGCTTTAAAATCTCCTGCCGGAACAAAAGAAGAGATGATCAGTTTCTGCACCGTACACAGGAAGCAAGCAGGAGTCGGGAAAGTGGCTCAAAACTCAGCATGGCACCATCTGAGCCAGGGTGTTTTAAACGCCCTTGCATTCATCTGCCCATACTCAAGTTTACAAAATTCTACTTTACAAACTGTCTAAGGAATAAAAGTATTGTAAAGTTGATGAGAGTACAGTAAACCTGTATGCAAAATCTACTCATCTTATTTATCTAAAAACTCAAAACATGACCTAACAAGAGACTTTGGTTTTAATTTATTCAGTTCTTCCAAAACTAAAACCAATAAATAACCATTGAAGAACACATTTGGATCCATAGATGCGTAGAGAACATTCAATACATTTCAAATATGTCTGAGACAGTCTAAGAAAGAGTGGGGCAGCTTCCAGTCTCTAAAAAGCAGGTTCAGGGTACTTGCCTAATATGCCGATGTTGTCATAAACTCCAAACATGCTCCTCTTCTCAGTCCACCTGTCCACCCTCTTCAGCTGAGGGATGGCATGCATCCTGATCTGGCAGCACGTGCCTGAACACAACATATTGTTTAAAGTCATTATTGTTGAGTAACTTGCACATTCAAAGATCCTAAAAATCTGTGGATGCATCACTTCACATCCAATTTAACAGGAGCATTTTTTAAAGGATAAATAATTTAAGCTACAAATCAAAACGCAAAATTCCTGCTTCTCAAATGTAAGGGTTTCCTTCTGTTTTTGACCCCCCCCCCCAAAAAAACATCAATATGAAAACATCTGATACAGACGACTATAAGAGACCTAAAGTTATGCATCATATTTTGTATTTTCACAAATTGTGTTGTTTACTCTAATCTCCCTGTAAATACCTGAATGTAAAGATCTACGTTAGATCTGACTTGTAGTTGTACTAGTTGTGGAAGTTTCTGTGGTCTGATTTTTGGTGCAGAGTCAATATTGGGTGGTGGACATTTATCAATGAGGTTTTTTCTGATTGTATCTAACTCTAATTTCAATTTCCTTAAATAATCATGTACTTGAAAATAATTTGAGGCACTTACACATTTCTTACCCATTTGCATTTTCTGCTTCTTTTTACTTTACATCCCAACTTTTCAGAAGGATTATATTGTACTTTCTACTCCACTTAATTAAGTTGTCAATTTCACATAATAGTCACTTATAAGATAAAGATTTTAACATTGAGATTTTACCTTACACCATCAGTTCATAAAAAAAGGGCACCAGTAAAATATATGTGCATCAGCAAAGTGTGAATCAGTCTGATCTGTTCACTGAGGACTGGTTTTTAACACAGACAATCATAATCTAGGTAAATGTTTGAAATAATTGTGATATTTATTTGAAGACATCCCCAGTATGGAGTTTATTGTTTCTCCTCCATCAGTCATTTCACAACCCCTCAGATGTATTAACCCTCTGAAGGTCAGGCCCCAGGGTCTGGAACCTGATCTGCCTGAATAGAAACAGAATAGCCAGCTCCACCTCCAGCTGACAGAAGGATGCTCACACTTTTAAAAAAAGGATTCCAGCGATGTACCAACCAAACTATTTCACTTTGCTTTGCACTTTTACTTAAACCCAGAACTTCTGCTGGTCGTGATGCATTTTGTGAAAAGAGCTCCAGGGACTTTTACTGACATGTCTGTGAGCTTCTTCTACCACTGATCAGAAGCAGGAGGAGTGAAGCAGCAGCACAGACACGAGGAACAGGTAATGTTGGTGTTCACAGACAGTGTCGGTGCTCACCTGTGGAAAAGCTCCTGGCAGCAGACTGACAGAAGGTCGCTCCAGCTCTCAGCAGACCTCCCAGCACAGACATGTCCCACGTGTTCTACGCAAACACACGAAGAGACAACATGTAAACATGTAAACACACATGATATTTGACGCTGTGGATGTTTTTAAAATGTCAGCTGCTCGCTCTTTCCTCCACATTGACCCTTAGCTTTAGCATTAGCTCGCATATGAAGTCAGTTTCGTGGACGCACCTGTTTCCCCGCTGATCAGCAGCTTCTCTCGGGTTCAGTCGCTTTATTCTTGTAACACCTGAGTGTGAGTTCAACCCTCGTGCGGATGTTTGAAGCTTTGAGACAAATGTTATTGGATCTTCATCACGCTGCCGGAGGCCGCCTCCATCTTGCTCCGTGTCCCACAATGCATCGCGCCGCTACCGTAGTGTCCGCAGAGCAGCGCAAGCGTTTTGTAAAAATTCGTTATTACTGAATTTTCACCGGTAGGGGGCGGTAGTGCTGCTGGAGCGTCAAACCCATCAAGTGTAGGGTACTCAGTTTATTAGGTACACCTACATGGTTCTTTTTTTGGACAAGGTGGTGAATATAATTTGTATGTTTGACTTGCGCACTATCTGGACATTAACAGACTCAACAAGCTAATCAAGAAAGCCAGCCATGTTGTTGGGGGGGGGACCTTTCAATAAGCTTAAACATGTATAGGATACTGTGTATACTTTAACTTACATTCATGTACAAATGTAAATCTATACATACCCGGTTTTTATTTCTACATATGTTTATCTTTTATTTCATTTTAGTCTTACCTGACTTTTATATTACTATGTTTATACCTGCTTTTGCTCTTTCACCTCTTCTCAGGAGCTCTGTGACGTTTGAATTTCCCTACAGGGATTAATAAAGTATTTATCGATTCTGATTCTGATTCTGATCTTGCTGTTACGCTACCAACCACCAGTAGACACAACAGATCAGCAGCTGAGGTTAGGGACGTATCTTCAGTTGTGTACCTTAGTCTCATTGGGTGTTTCAGCCTTTTAATCACACAACTCTTCTAAGGCAGACCCACCACAGGCTGATCACACCTGGGTGTGTGTCCCTAACATCTTGGGGCCGAGTTGGGGTCTTTCCTCCTGATCCAGAGCCACTGGCTGCAGCGTTCTGCCATCCCAGATGTTTTATTTTGATGGTCTGGTGCAGGCATTGTCTGTAGATTCCCAGCTCTTTGATGGATGTTGCAATAAAGCTCCTGTAGCCAACCTCCACTGTGCGGACTATTGGTTTTCAGCCTCGTTGTTCTGCCTCAGATGCCACCTTCAGTGCATTCCTGCAATAAATCATACCTTCATATATATAATGTTCCGTTTTTTAATTGAAATTGTGCAGGAGAGGTGTTGACTGAAGTTTATGGTCTTTTTTGGAGGCTGCAGTCGCTCAAGTTTTTCAATATTTCTCCCAAACTAATTTATATCATAAACTGTAAATAAACATGGATGACATGACTAGTCCCCAAAAGTGAATCTAAAGTATCTTGATCGCCACCTGGTTGGCTGGGTGCAGTGTAGATAATAAATCCCACCTTCTACATGTTAATGGATGGGACATGCACCAAACTAAACACGTAAATCTTTCTCAAAGATGGTTTTGTTATAATTTTAGGTAGTTATTGCCACACTGATGTATGTCATTTTCCTTGTAAGTTTGGTCATAAGATACTTGTACCTTACTTGAGTATTTCCATGATTTGTTACATCATACAAATCTACTTTACAACATTTTCTAGGGAGATAGTGTACATTTTACTCTTTTACATTTATCTCTATTTTCCCATCAACATTTTTCATTGGTAATACCATAAGCTTATTAAATACAAAGCAAAGTCTAGTTGGGGCATCTTGTCAGTTTCAGTGTGTCACAGAAGGATCAGTTAAATCATTGCTCAAGGCTTTGACACATACACAAACACACATTTCAATAGTTTCAGTCTTAGTGTTGTATAGAGCTCTATGGAATATTTGTCATTTTCAAAGAAACAAGTGCAGTAAAACTGATCTTTGTTTTCATTTCATTCTTGCAAAGACGTCAATGAGCATGTGGAAATTTAAACCAGACAAAACATCATTAAACTGTAAATTCCATTCAGCTTTAACATTACACACTGCAACAGTCTGTGCAGAGAAAGATTCGTGACTTACTTTAAGTGTAGTGTGAGTGTTTGAACTATTTTATTTACCAATTTTACCAATTTTACTTTTACATTTGCAAATCCTTGCGTAAAGGATAAAAATAAGGCAACAGTAAATAGTAAAGTGAAAGTAATTTAGTGTGTCTATGAGGGGAAAGATAACACAGATGTATTATTCTGAATCCATCCCTCATCTCAGGTAATAAGATGCACTAGTTCTCATAGAGTATCAAATCTAATGCATATTATGGAAAACAACTTTTCTTTTATGTTGTTGCACACTTCTATTTTAGTTTTTGCATTTAGATACACAAGCATATGTGGTCTTGAGGTACAAATCACAAACAAAGCACCTTGGCAAATATAAAAACACAACAGTAAATACTCAAACACATGGACAACATGTCCATCAGCAAAGAGTCTTGCTGATTGCAATTGTGTACATTTAAAATAATGCTGTTGTGATTGGTTGTGTTGTGCCGTTCTGCTTTGCACTCCACTGTACAACATGATCTCACGTCTCACCATCAGCTCTGAATAAAATGCTGACATGAGAATTTAATAGCGCTTCGCGGCAGATAATTTTTTTCTGTGCTTTGCTTCCTCTGCCAGTAAAACTCAGTGGAACATTACATACCGTCACCTACACACACTGAATAAAATACCATGAACCAATCATTTTAGTTATTTAAAATCAACCACAGCAGTACTCAGAATAATTCAGAAAGTGTTCTATTACTTACTGAAGCTTAAAGCTGAGGTCAGATTAGAAAACTGACTTTTCTCTGCTATTGTCTGAGATAATTCAGAACTTGGCACAGGAGCAAACTACTCACTTGTGAAGTACAGAAGAAATTTGATTATTTTCCAAGCTTGTCTTTATCAACACATTCATCTGCATTTCTACAAGCCCTTGTGCTCGGTTGTTTCCATGTGAGGGGCATTTTCCTTCACACTCCTTTCACCTTATATTCAGATACAGTAGTGGTGACTAAGCATCAGCTTGAGGAAAGACCACTTCACTTAGAGTGATGCACACATGCCCCCTGACACAAACACTGACACTGACACTGACACTGACACAAACACTGACACTGACACAAACACTGACACTGACACTGACTGACAATAACTGAACCATCTGTCTGACTTGAAGCCACAATCTGAAACATCTGAAATAATGTATGAAAAGTTGTGTGGAGGAGGTGTGGATGGAAGGATGGAGGAGATGAAAAGATTGAAATCACACTATCAGTCACATTTCTGATACCAAGGAAAATCTCTCCACCTAATGAATAAACATATCTGAGGTTTCACCCACACACTTTCAGGTGTTTCATCTGTGTTCATTCTATCTGATCATTTTCAGGATAGATAGGTAGATGGATGAATAGATAGATAGATGGATGTATGAATGACTTGTGAACATCATTTTACAATAAAAAATATTACTGACCCTCACACTTTCTTCAAAAATGACATTTTCCAGTTACTGAGCAGTATTTTAATTTATGTCTTTAAAAGGATGTTTAACTATGTTTAACTTTATCGTCCACTGATGTGCGTCCACAGGAGAAGTCGTAGTTGTTGACAAATTGAGAAGTAAACGCTTATGTTTGTGTTCAATATGTGATATTTAGCTATACATCATTTATGACGTACACTGCTTAAGGGGGACTCAAAGTAAAATGTTGTTGAAACTTAAAAATTGATGATACTGTTATATCATGAAACCATATATTGAGATAACAGCAGGCGTAAGACAAGTCTGCAGTAGTTTATCTAATATCTTAAGGATCTAATCTTGAAGAAATATGCTTGCATAAAGGAATTCAATCGATGTTTGCCTGGTGGAGTGAGTCTGTTTCTTTTGAGGTGGTTGTGCTATAAGAATTGACGATAATGAAAACAAAGAAATGCGAATGGAGGGATGTGTTACGTGATATAACTGATAGTAAACACCGCTATAACTGGCAGTGACGGAGGAGTAGCCGAGGTATTCGGCGTGGCAGTTTTGTATCTCAGTTTCAGAGAAACAGCTACAGCTTGAATGACACAGGAGATATTTGTAAACAAGTCACATCCACAGAGTGTGAAGAAGCATGAAAATGTAGATCATGTTTATCTGGTGGAAAAACCTGAACAAATAAACGTCAGCTTGTCTTTCAGATGTCTCCATTCACAGTCCCTCAACTCACTTTAACTTGAGTATGGTCAAATCAGATTATGTTATGTGCTGTTACACAATGTATTTGCTGTGAAGTAGGAAACTCGGTGAAACAAAGAGAATCCGTGGGAGAAAGTGGGTCTCCCTGTTTGCATCTGTCTTATAGTTTCCAGGCTGACAGAGTCAGACCACATGAGGCCTGTAGCTGAAGTCACGTGAGCTGCAGAGAAACTACCAAACACTCCGCCCCCATCAGCGCCCACGTCCTCGTATATATATACTGCCTCAGACAAGTCAGGAAAACACATTATAAGCACATTCAAGCAAGTGTACTGTGAAGCTTCATTTGAACAGCTCAATTATGTTGTTGGAGTGTTTCATCTTTATTTTGATCACCTTTCTCATGAGAGGTAATTATACATTTTCTTTTTAACACTAAGTGGCTATAAAATACTTTTTTAAAACTTTCTGAAACTAATTTTGTTTGTTTATTCCCCAGGAGTTCAGTGTGAGGTGACAGAGGTGTTTGCTGAAAAAGGCTCTCTGGCTGTACTACCTTGTAAATACAGCCCCACATCCAGTGTTTCTCCAGCCATCTTCTGGGTTAAAGCCAACAAAGGGTAAGACACAACTATGCCCTTTCTACTTCACGCATCCATATGTGTCTGTACGCAGATGACACTGTGCCATCTCTTACCACAGTACCGTCTGGATGAAGCAGAAGAGCGGTGTGCAGTTGTGGGGCTCTAGCTGGTTACAAAAAGGGTTTCAGCGTGTGCGATGCCCCCACACTCAGTTTGAAAAAGGCGACTACAGCCTGCAAATCATCAGTGTGACGGAGGAGGATGGAGGAGTTTACTCCTGCAGAGTGGATGATGGAGGCATACATGCTGAAACCATGGTCCTGCTCAGAATCATTACAGGTAATAAAAATATTGAAAAACAGAATTTTTACCTCCGCTAATTAAATTATGTCGTTTGCAAGATTACACAAAAATTGAGGGGTCACCACAAAAATTGATGGAAGGATGATGTATGGGTCTTTAACAACATTTTCGTTTTGGATCTTGATGGAAAAAAATTCCAAATTTCCCCAGTGTGGGATGAAGAAAGTCTATCTTATATATATAAAAAATATATAAATGCACTGCAGCTAAATAATCACAGAAGATTCATCTCTTATGAAAGCCATGCCAAGACAAACTAGTAACTCCACCAGGTAAGCTTAATTACATGCTGAGAAAATGAGTTAAAAACCTTATCAGGATATAAAACCCTTAACAATCCATGAACTAAGGGCTCTCATGTCTTTACAAGATGTTGTGTGATAATATGAATGTCATTAATCTCGTCCTCCTCTGTGTCCAACATAGTGTCCATCTCTCCATTGGTTGTCATGTCGGGGAGAGACGTTTCAGTCACTTGTACGGTGACTCCTGGATTTAATGAGGTTACTGCTGCGCAGTGGTTTTTGAACGACAGTCAATTTCCACGTAAGACTGAAATCATCTCACCGGGAGAGACCTTTAAAAGCCTCGTGAAGGAAAAGGCATCTGCGAGGCTGACAGGGAAATGGACCTGTGTGGTGGGCTACAGGGGCAAAGAAGGCCGAGCTTCAGCAACTCTGTCAGTGAGCGGTGAGATGCTTGAGAAAAAATGTCTGCTGCTGTGCATCGTATTATGTCAATGCAGATGTACTTGAAATTAGCTTCTTTTCTCTATTTGAAGGAATCCTCCAACCACCATCTGATGACACCAAGGTGTACGCTGCTGTGGGATCTGCAGCCACACTCCCCTGTGTCTTCTCCTCTGGGATGATCCCCTCCTCACCACTCTGGGAGAAACTGCAGCCTGGGTCTCTTAATAAAGCTAGCCCCAGCCGCCTACCTTCCTCTTTTTCTTCATCCTCGCTGTCCTCTCAGCTTCCCTGGGATAAATCTGCCGGTTTGAGAGAGGTCGACTTTAAGGATGAGGGCAGGTACAGATGCTCTGGGACCGTACAAGGACAAAGGCTGGTTCGAAACCTCCAGCTTGTCGTTGCCAAAAGTAAGTTTACGTGGATTCAGTTGAAGCTCAAAGTAAAAATCCCCTGAATCTATATTTTCTTTCACCAACTACAATATATCTTATTGTCTTGATTTTTTCTCTCTCAGTTGAAAGCAGTGTCCTGTCAAAGAAAAAAGCCTCCGTGACACTGACCTGCCAACTGTCCGACACGAGCAAGGTCACTGAATACGAATGGGTTCGCGTGACCTATGATCTCAATGGCACCCAGGTCTTCGGGTCCATCCACAAGGGGAAGACTCTGAGTATCAGCCAGTTGTCAGAGGAGAGCTGGGGCACATGGGCATGTCGGTTCTCAGGCAAAGAAGGCATTTTAGGAAACATAACGTACCATGTTCCAATGATGAGTAAGTTGTCTCCTCTTGATTTTGTTCTGATAACATACTTGATTTTCTTTTATAAAATGTAGTCTGATTTTTCTCTGTTGTTTTTCTTCACAGGTGGTTTCAGTGGACAAAAATCCTCTGGTTTCTCAAAGAACACCGCTGCTGTGGTCGGGCTCAGTTTTCTCCTCCTCGTTCTGCTGCTGATTCTGGCTCAGATGTACAAGAACCACCGAAGGGTAAAGATCCATGGTTCATTCAAAAACTCTCAAATTTAACCCCCATTGACTTGTTTCCTGACGAGCTTCCAAATTCCTTACAATTATTTTCCATGACATGGAAATAAGGGTGATTATAGTCTCTGCTTTGGGATGAGATTCCAGAAAATAATTTGCATAA